ATTTTGACAAACTCATTACAGTGCTTTTCCATTTAGTTCTTTGAAAATATTAACAACATGTGAATGGCTTTTTTTCCCCTGTTTTTTTGTTTGTTTTGTTTTCTGAGGCAGAGTTTCTATGTAGCCCTGGCTGTCCTGGAACTCACTTTGTAGACCAAGCTGGCCTCAGACTCAGAGATCTACCTGTCTCTGCCTCCTGGAGGCTGGAATTGAAGGTGTGTGACACCACCGCCTATAGCGTAAATGTTTTTGTATGAATGAAAGTACTTACCAGAGACACACATATAGGAAAAATAAAAGCATCTAAATATGTACACTGTGTTTACAAGTTATTTTAAGTATCAGATATATACGTATGAGTATATGCATACATACATACAGTAATATATACTAATATATATTCACATATGTTTTATATATAACTTTATATGATAGGTAAGAAAGTCAAGGGCCTGAATTACTATGTCACACAGCTAGCAATGGAATTAAGCTGAAACTTTTGAGTTAAGCAGTCTGGCTCCCAAGTCTGCTATCCCACTTTTTCCGAGCACACATATGGCTCTATGCTCAGCATTCCTGATGCAAGTAATCATCAAGTCAGTCGAATCTCAGCTGGAGATCACTTGCCACTCCCAGAGGAAAGCTCTATTTAAATAGCAGGACATTGCCCCAGTGACTTTACAGTCCCCTTTATCACCCAGCCTCATAAAACCACAGGTGTGTTGGGGTGCTCTATAAAAACAGGTGTTTTGTGTGCTTCACCACACTTAACCCAGGGTGTCTGAATATGATTACTATTTACTTCTTGGCTCCACAGAATCTTCCGAGAGAAGCTGTCTTGAAAAAGAAGCTGGAGGGCAGAGGAAGCAGGAAGTAGGGCCCCCGCTTCCCAGGTATTCGTTGAGCTGGCCTGGGCGAGGGCCCACCGGCTTCACCTGCCCCAGGTGTCCCCCTGATTCTTTTCCAGTCTCCCAGGACGATGCGCAGCCCACCCAGTGGCACTTTTACCCTTTCTGTCTGCTTTGCAACGATGGGACCTGCCTGCCGGGATCTTACTTATTAACTTTACACAGATACGGCAGGCTGCGATTGCAGGAGAATTGTTTGGGAGTGCGGTATCTCGCTTCTTCCCACGTACCTTACCCTGGGAATTGCTTTGTACTTGCACATTGCCATGTGGTGGTGTGTATTTAATAGCCATCAATAAAGATAGGCCTGGGAAAATAGGGACAGACACAGATTCCTCTAGAGGACAAGCCAGGAGGGTGATCAGAAAGGTGTGGTCAAAAAAAAAAAATAAGCCTTTTACCAAGCAGTTAAAAGTTTGAAGAATATCGGCCCGAGGATTCCTTGACTACACCTAAAACTTGTCTCCTTAAGTCTGACTTCATCCAGTGTTCACTATCCAGATACCAGGGTGTCTGTTCTGCAGCAGGTACTTCTTAAATCACTTCTTTATAGAGAACTAAGAAAGATGAAGAAGCTGGGAGGTGGTGGTGCCCGTATTTAATCCTGCACTCGGGAGGCAGAGGCAGGAGGATCTCTGTGAGTTTGAGGCCAGCCTGGTCTACAGAGCGAGTTCTAGGACAGACAGGGATACACAGGGAACCCCTGCCTCAAAACACGGAGGGGGGGGAGAGAGAGAGAGAGAGAGAGAGAGAGAGAGAGAGAGAGAGAGAGAGAGAGAGAGAGAGAGAGAGTGAGAGAGAGAGAGAGAGATCGCTCAGGATATAGCCAACAGTAGAGTGCTTACCTAGCAGGCACAAAGGCCTTCGTTCTAATCACTGGCACCACAAAAGGTAATGAAGTAAATAAATATTAAAATGAATATCCAGTAAGAAAATGTAGGATGTAGAGGGGACATTTTTGAAATAGAAACCCAGAGCTTCACCAGACCACACCGATGAATAACATTTTGACAGTGAGGAAAATAGAAACCCGGAGTGTCACCATGCCACACCGATGAATAACAACCGGACAGCGGGCAGAGATGGAAGTGACTGTTAAGGAGGTGGTGTGTGACCCTGACTCCCACATACTCGGTGCTCCAAAATATTTGTTGTGCAGAATTAAGCAACTAGTTGGAAATGGAAAAAAAAAATCTAACTCTCCCTGCATTATGCAAGCAGAGTTAACATGGTTTATTTGACACAAAGTAAACCAGCAGGGACAATACCCTTCCACCCAGGTGACAAACCATCCCAGACACTAAGTCTATGACCATCCAATGGCAAGCCTTCAGGAGTAGATAAGGAGGTTACAGATCATCCAGGCTCTCACTTGAACTTGAGTACTGGTCCCCATGTGACTGTGGGAGCCTGTTGAGATTAAGGCCCGGCTGGATATTTGTGTGAGACACACATTGCCTGGCAACCTCCTCCAGGAGCCAGCAACATACTTGATCAAGAGGCCTTCTGTGAGATCAGGCCAGCCTGGCAGGCACCAGCATGTTTCCAGAGAGCTCACTTTCCATGGGCCCTCTAGGATTGCAGCCAAGCTTGGCCTATAGCAGTTCACTCCCACAAAAGGAAGAACTCTGTTCCCACTTCACCTAATGTCCACCCACTGAGTAAGGCTAAGGGAATCCAAAACAGACTCCACCATGCCTACACGGTGTAGGGACGACAGATTAAAGTGAGCTTCTGCCTCTCCCCTTGTTCTGAACCACCCCTCCACCTCTCTGGGGCCTCTTTCCCCAAGACTAACTCCAAAGCAGGATACCATCTCTGCCCCCATTCCCGGTCACTGTGTAAAACCCTCTCTATGAGATCTGATCTATGTCTATAACCCTACACACCAAACAGAACACAGTGATTAACTACTGAGAAATGGCACACGTTCCAAAATTCTTCAAGGGACCTCAGTGGCAAAGCTGGTGTCGTATTCTGAGGTCTTCTGAGGAAAATGGTAGAAGACATCCAGGGGCGGCTTCCTGGGCTGGTCTCTAAGCTCAACATCCCAAAGGAAACGGCATAGTTCACACACAAGCACCATCTCTCAGCCACCTGGCAAATCCATTATTTGTCTTGTCAGTCCCTCTGATACATGTGACATTGGCCCAAAGTTCAAGCAAGGGCTCTGTGTTCTAACCCCTTCATGGGCATTCCTAAGTCACGTTTTCCACTCCTGAGATGAAAACAGCATCTAAGGATTCAGACTCAGGAGACAGAGCTACTCTCTCCGATCTTCCTTTTGGAGCGAAACAGATTAGCCATAAGAAAGAAGGCCATGTGGCTTGGCTTAGCTAGGGTGACTGGAAGGGGGCAGCCTGCCTGTTCTGGTGACCCCTACAACGCTTTCCTGTCTCCTGAAACTGGGAAGTCAAGATTCTTTCCCTTTCAGAGAACACAGAATGGTGAGCAAATCTGGGCGAATCGTGGTACAGAAATCTCCAAGGAAAGCCTGGAAAGGAGCCACGCTTCAGGCTACCCTGAATGTACGGGTATGTATGGGCAGGGCCTCCTCTTCCTCAATTGGAAAATCAATCCTCAGGCTAATAGAAATGATGATTTGAAAATGTTCTTCTCCTCAAGAGATAGTGAAGAGAGTTTCTAAATGGGTAGTGGAGTGCCTGCGTAAGGCCCAGGTTTTGCTAGCCCCTCTCCAGGAAAGCAGCCAGATGTATACAAGCCATTTCCCCTAGGCCTCAGTTTCCTCTCCATTACATGAATGAAGAATCTCTTTCCAATGTTGTCTCCAGCGCATGCCTTCATATAATCTGAGATAATTGGAGTGGAGAAGATTGAAACTATATTATATATATTCATTCATTTCACCCCCACCCCACACCGATGCAGTACTGGGAGTTGAACACAGGGCCTCATATATGCTAGACAAGACCTGGTAACACCAAGCTTTATGCCCAGTCCTCTACTTTTTGAGACAGGATCTCACTAAGTTACTAAGGCTGGTCTTGAACTCTGTAGACCAGGCAGGTCTTAACCTTGCAATCTTCTGGCCTCAGGGGTATTCACAGACCTACAGCACCAGGCCTCATTTACATCATTTTCAATCTTGAATTTTACTCAATTGATTTTTCTGGGCAGCTATATTTATTTTAGTTTCGATTTTTAGAGAGATTTGATCTGATGTCACCATTTGAGTGGCTTATTTGCAAGCCAAATAATTGCAGACCCCGGGTTTTTAGGGCCCCAGCTTCACCCCCACATTTGTAAGCCTTGGGCCTGTCCTCACCCGCCTCAGCCATTAACCCAGATGGAACCTCTCGTGCTTACCTCACAGAGGCCTAACTCTAAGGTGAGGCTATTGGCTGTGAGCGCATGCCCCTGTGGTCCAGCCAAGTGGGAGAGTCGAGCAGAACACAGGCGCCCCACCCCCACCCTGCTAAGAAGGGCCTTCTTGGCAGGCATCCTCCTTCAGAGCCCATTAGGGAAGTGCACATTCCCTTGGTCTCACTGGCTCCAGTGAGTGTTAGGGGGCGGGGAGCATTACAGGCTATTAGCCAATGTTGAAAGCCTGTTTTCCACCCCCCACCCGACTTCTCCTAGTACCGGCTGGGCTTGGCCAGGCATCAAGCAGGCGTTTTTGTTCAGAAGTGGCAACTTATTTTTATCAAAGATGGAATGCAGCCTTGCAGTTGTTTCCAATGCCTTTGCATGGCAACCAAACGTTTGTTCCAAGCATTCCCCAGCCCTCTTTTCTCTTTCTCCATCTAAACACTGGGCAGGGAGCAGCTTAAGACGACGACGTTGCAGAAATTAAAACTCGTTATTAATGTCCCTCCTTTAAAATGCAGGCTCTGGCTGCTGCCTGGAACTCGGTAAATCCTGCCCTAAAACAATGAGAGGGCCACAGCAGCGAGGCAGTGGGGAGAGCTTGGGCAATGGCTCTGCTCACCCCACCCCAAGCTTCGCATTGCTGCTCATCCTCTAGCCAGTCCTCCCTTCTATGGAGGGACGGTGCCTACTAGGAGGCAAGGGCTGCCTAAGCCTTTCTGGTCACAGAACCTTTGGGTCGGATGAGAAAGCTGTGGACCCTCGTTGGGTGAGAAAGTGATGCATCTGTTTATTTGGGAACTATTTCTTAGACACCTGCTAGACATAAAGGGCACATAGAAGAACAAATTCGAAGTCTTTTTTTTCCCCGGTGATTGTCCAGGTTATGAGAAGTTCTGCTTGGGGAATTCTGTGATGAAGTCAAAGACTCTTATCTGAGAAGACGATGATGATGATGATTCCAGGAAAGGAACCTGAAGTCACCTGCCTGCCAAACGCCCACGGCCAGAGCAGGAGAGTGGCCACAGGGAAAGTGATCTCCAGCTTCCTTCTTGTCCCGGTGTGGTGTCAGCAGGAGAAAACATGCAGGCACAGGATGCCTGGAATGTCGACAGTGTCTCTGGACACTCCCAGCTGCAAGGAGCTGGCTGCTGCCCTGGAGGGAAGGCAAACATGCCTCTGCTCTCTGGGGCTTCATTTTTCTCACGGAGTCTGAAAGGGCTGTGATCAGGTGATATGTGTGGGGTTGCTCCCCGTACAGGTGCAGGGCAGGTACGAGGGGAGGAGAGAAATCCGCCCCATGTGTACTCACTCAAAGCTCTTTCAATAACCCTACCAGGATAGCTCTTGGCAAGGCAGCAGCCCAGTCTCTGGCAGGCTGCAGGGAATCCGAGTGTGAGAAAGTCAGTCATGCGAAGGAAAAGAGGAAAAAAAAAAGCTTTGAGTCCTCAGGCAAAATACCACCACCACCCCCCTTTCCCTAGCTCTAAAACAAACCCACAAAACATTCCCCAAAACCTAGGGGGAAGGGGGAGTCTCTCCTAGGCTACAGACATTTGTTTTATGCTTTAAAAGCAAACAGGTGGGAGAAGTCACTCTCGTGGGCGATGGGTTACACAGGCGGGCAATGGAGCGGCCCCTGGTTGTGATTACTGGATGCCATGTAGTATGCAAATTCCCATCACACGGGGAGCAAAAAGACCTCCACTCAAAACACCCCACTCCGCGTTCCTCCTGCTTTGGGAGTACAATGTGGTCAAAAAATGTTCCTAGGAACCTTTCAAGTTCAAAAAAAAATCTTTCTGGCTTTTGAGTTCACTGCCTGCATGGGAGAGTGGACAGCACCAATATGACATACCGTCACTGACCAGGAGAGTCTGAAAACACATCTACGAGTTCATTTGCAAAGCAACCTCATTCTTCACACTTAGCAGAGCCAAGAGTCAGGGCCTTCACGACTTTTGGATCTTATTGGGAGGGGGGCAGCGCACAGGCACAAATTTATGCATCACTTTTGTTCACATGGGCCTTCTTTCTGTCCCTCTGTCTAAAAGTGTGTATGTGGAGTCACTCGCTTATTCTGCCAGTGTAAATACTCCTAAAGTGACAGTAAATTAACTGTGGTTAACTCTGACCCAGGGGGCTGCTGGAGGCTAACCTGGGAGACCCTAGCTGACTTGTTCATCCTCCCCCATGCACCTGCCAGGAACTACACACAGCCCTAGAGGCAATAGAAACAGACAAGAAATATTAGAAGGGACAACTGGCATGCTAGGTTAAGAACAGACAGCAGACAGTCATAACAGGCCTTATTGCAGGAGGCACTGGCTCCTAAGGGTTCTTCGGGTGGGTATCTGAATGGGGTTAAAATGCTCCCCTGGACAGCTGTCCCCAGGAGATTCTGAGGCAATGTATTTGGGTTGTTTTTTAAGTCAAAGACTTAGTAGGTGCTTTAGTTTGCTGGGGGCACGCAGAAAGGGCAACTCCAAAGGTTCATCACCTTTAACCATGACGATTTCAAAACCACAGGAAAGCCCACTGCTTACAAGGTGACCAGCAATTTTCTGCCACCACCACTTTCCCATCTGTTTAGAATATGAAAGGAGGGAGAGTCCTACCCCATTGGTCCAGGTTGCAGAGCAACAAAGAAGGCATTGTTTATCTTTTCTTCAGAACAAGACAGGGCACAGCCCACTCTCCAGCATGGTAACACACACACACACACACACACACACACACACACACACACACACGCACACACACACACACCCTCAAAGGGACACGAGAACAAGTGTGAAAAAAGCACGTCGGCCCCCTCAGGTAAAGGTTTGTTGCAAACTGGGGAAGGGCTGTCCCGGGAGGTATAGAAAGTAAAAAGGTCAGAACCCCGTGCGATGGCAGAACACTTCACCCAGGGCAAACCAACTCTCTTTTAACTCAGGTCAGTGGCTTGTGTGGTTAGTGACCATGACCTGGACCAAGCAGGTAGCATGTCAGCCTACATGTGTCACTTAGGAGCAGTCTCTACTGGTCTGATGCCCTTATGTGGTCTGTCTCTAAGTCCTGCAGTCCACCCTTGGCACTCGTCAGGGTCATCTTTCTAAGGAGAACCCTGGAGTCTCTCCCCCACTATGAGCCTACTGTGGTTTTCGGAGTCCTTTATTACACAAAGCAGGATGTCTAAAGGCCTTGTGGTAGTCTCAAATTTCTTCCATGCCCTTCCACACACACATCCTGAATAAAGACCTCAGGTTCCCGGGATCTGTGCCGAGTACTCCCTTCCCCCCAGCCCATGACTCAGCATATTTCCAACGCCTCGGCTATATTTTTCTGAGGTACCAAGCACAGATCCTCTCCGCCGGTAACTTTACCATAACAGCTTAACGTATGACTAATTCTCCTGGGTTCTCTACGTCATTTTACTCCTGTCTACTGCTTCTCTTAAAGGCTCTCCCAGGGGAATCTTCTGGGAAATCTACAGATGGCAGCCATACCCACACAGGTATCTGGCAGCGGGCTTTCTAAGGTCACTGCCTGGTTCCGCACCTGATGCAGGTGTGGCTTCGCGCTGCGAAGACACCCCTCCGGATGACCCCCGCCCCTAGAGCACCATCTAGGCCCCCAAGAGAAAGGGAAAACAGAATCCCCAGGCACTGGTCAGAAAGTCGGATTCTGTGCGCCGCCGCAGTTGGTTGACTACTCCCAGGGAGCGGCCACTGTATCTCTCATCGTGGTAATCCCCGGGTTTAACAGTGTCTGCCGTTCCATCATAAAAGAGACGGGGGCTTGCCCAAGGTCATGCAGTCAACGAACCCCTTCATCTCATCCCGGGCCAGATCTGCAGAAATCATTCACATTATCTCAGCGGGGGTTCAGGGTGGGAGTGGGGAAGGGAGGGACGAGAGTGTGCGCCTTGTGTGCCCGGCCTCCCAGACGCGGGAAAAGCTGGGGGCGGGGATCAAACAACGTGCCGGGATCGTGAGCCGCCCCGACTTCAGGCAGCGGGAAATCTGGAGGGGTTGGGGACACCCGGGTGGAGGCAAGGGACCGACGACCGGGGGCAGGCAAAGGGGGAGGCAGGCAGCCGCCGGGGACAGCGCGCGCCGCCCGCGCCGTGCGGCAAATCCCCCAGGGAGGCCGCCGCCAGAGCCCTGGCGCTCCCGGCCCGGCGCCCGCCACGTGGCACCCGGCGGCGGCGGCGGCGACTCCTCCCGGCGCGCGGCCCGGCCAGCCGGCAGCACGCAGTCGCCCGTCTCTGCCCCGCCGTCCGCCGGCGGCCTCCTGGATGCAGCGAGGGACCCGGGGAAGGGGCGGGCGAGCGGGCGGGCGGCTTGAAGCCTCCGTAACCGCAGCCGCTGCACGGAGGCAGGAGGCTGACCCGGCCGCTTCCTAAGTGCGGTCAGGCATCTCGTGACCGCGGCGGCCGCCCGGCTCCCTCCCCCGCCGCAGTCGCTGGGGAGGTTTCGGCCCCGCTCAAACCCCAAGATCGGAGTCCGGGCTGGCTGGTTGGTGGGGGGTGACGGGGGTGGCACGAATTCCCTGCTCGCAACCCCTGGGCGAGTGCTGCCCCACCCGGAAGGGCTGACCTTGGCCGGGGGGCTTGGGGGAGGCTAGCGCGGGGCCCCGATCCCGACCCTCCACCCCCACGGATTCCAGGCTCTCCCGGGTCGGAGGAGGGGGCCCCGGACACACACACACAAACACACACACACACCCCACACGCAGCGCGCGCCAATGAGCCCAGGCCAGGCGCTGGGGGCGGGGTTTTCCCAGGCTCGAGCACAGCAGCTGCTATTTACCTTCTTGGCTTCTCCCGGGGACTAGAGCCGGCCCCCGCTCCCGGCCGCCCGCCGCCGGCCCCCGCCTCCCTGCCCCCGGGGCGCGCGCACACACACACTCACACACGCACGCACACACACATCCTCTGGGTCCGGCCGCAGCCGCGGCGGCAATAAAACATCCTGGCACGTGCTCCGACTCCAGGCGCGCCCTCGCCGGCCGGCTGATGTCAAACTGCAGCTCGGCTGGTGGAGCTCTTAAAGGGCTCGCACGCCGGGCGCAGAGGCCGCCTATGGCCGCCCGCAGGGCGAGGAGGGGAGAGGCCGGCTCCCTGCCCGCAGCCTCTCCGTACTGCCAACCGAGAGCCTGCGGGGGAGAAAGGTAGAGAGTGGCGAAGGAGCGCGCGCGCCCCTGTGGCATTGCTATCAAAGCCCCTCTTGTTCATCTTTCATTTGAAATTCCATTTCCTTTCTGCCCAGTAGGAAATTATTCTGATTGTTTCCTGGAGAAGCGTGAGGTCCAATGCCCCATTCCCAAGAGAGGAATGAGAAGCGAGCTGGGGGAGGGGGAGCGCAGGCATCCAAAAGCCACCTTGCTCCGAAAAACCTGCCTGGGAAGGCATTTCTCTTTTTTGCGAGGGGTGAGGGAGTGATGAGTTGGGGGGTTTGGGTATTGTTCCCTCCCCCGCATGAGCAGTTTTCACTCCCCTGAGCATACAGAATTAAAGAGGGAATTCACTTTAGACGTTAGAGTAACACACCTTTGCGCGAGTTCCCTCGTTTTTAAATCACTAAATTATGTGTTTACCTATATTTTCTCAAAATATTTTTCAAACGAACTTACTGTAGAAAGTAGCTATATTGCACGTGGCAAAGACAATAAAAATCCAAAGACCTGGCCACAAAAGAAATAGACGAGGCCAAAGCCACGGCGGAAAAGTCCTCTCTAAAGCAAAGCCCAGAGGAGAGAGTCAGCATAGGGTTAAAATCCTTTTGATTGACGTTGTAGCCTCCGGTGCCCCGGGCTCAGGCGCGCGCCATTGGCCGCCAGACCTTGTGCCTGGCGGCCAATGGGGGGGCGCAGTCCACGAGCGGTGCCGCGTGTCTCTTCCTCCCATTGGCTGAAAGTTACTGTGGGAAAGAAAGTTTGGGAAGTTTCACACGAGCCGTTCGCGTGCAGTCCCAGATATATATAGAGGCCGCCAGGGCCTGCGGATCACACAGGATCTGGAGCTGGTGCTGATAACAGCGGAATCCCCCGTCTACCTCTCTCCTTGGTCCTGGAATAGCTCTACCGCTCACTAAGTAGCCCTAAGACATACTAAACCTTCAGCTGCTCAGTAGTTTTCTTATGAAAGTCAAGTAAAAGGGGCATAAGCAAAAAAAATTTTTTGAGTGAAGAATTCCAAAAATAAAATTCTCTGGGGATTGAGAAGAAAGAAAAAGAGAAAGAAAATGCCAGCTGATATAATGGAGAAAAATTCCTCCTCCCCGGTGGCTGCTACCCCAGCCAGTGTCAACACGACACCGGACAAACCAAAGACCGCCTCTGAGCACAGAAAGGTAAGACAGTACCTGTGTCTCTCTGAAGCTCCTAGATATTAAGAGGGTTGTGCACGGAGGGGCTTCTCTTACTTTTCCCTCTTAAAACCTCGGGGTGAACTGGCAGATCCCGTGGGAACTCAACCCACACCCCCGCTTTTTTCCCCTTTGCAGTCATCAAAGCCTATCATGGAGAAGAGGCGAAGAGCAAGAATAAACGAAAGTCTGAGCCAGCTGAAAACACTGATTTTGGATGCACTTAAGAAAGATGTAAGTGAGCAATGCTTATTATTATTATTATTATTACGAATGCAGTGATATTTCTCAGGCACAAAGAACCTAACTCTTCGCCTGCTGTGTGAGGATCTTACCCCGCCAGCACTGCCTTCCCCTAGGCGGGAGGGAAGTCCGGGCCTCTCCCGCATTGCCCCTGGATGTGGGACCTGCAGGCGGGGTTGGGGACCTTCTGAACAAGAGGCAGTTGACAAGGGGGAGCCTCACTTTCTTCCCTTGTTTCCTCTGCGTAGAGCTCCCGGCATTCCAAGCTGGAGAAGGCAGACATTCTGGAAATGACAGTGAAGCACCTCCGGAACCTGCAGCGGGCGCAGATGACCGGTGAGGACCGCGCGTGCGTCCCCTCTCTGCGGGTGTCCCTTTCGGCCCGCGGTGATTTCTTCCAGACTTCCGCCCGCGGTTGTGAGAGGCATTCAGCTACATTTTACTGCCTTGGCTCACTCCGCGTTCCCACGGTCTGGGTCTTATTTATAGCCACAACTCCCAAGTTGTTACTGCTCCGGAAAGGGAGGGAGAGGTTGTAGCCGAGAAGGGTGGTGGGCGGCTTGGCTGTGGTGGAAGCTGGTGAGGGCGAAGGGACGCAGGACTGCGGCGGCTCGGGGCTGGATAGAATAGAAGCCAGGGGTCACTGGCTTAGCACCCGTCCAACCGCTGCCGCAGGAGGGGAAGTGGGACTTGGAAGGCGCCTTGGGTGGCATTGCCCAAGGTCACGTCGCGCGCGGGGCTGGAGGTGGCAGATCTGGAGCGGAGATCGGTTTAAACGGAGGGGGTGTCCTGGTTTACGTGGCCAACCTAGAGAGAAGGAGCGGGCTGTTCTTAGCCTACCCCACCCTCCCAACCCCAGGTGGTTCCGGAGGCTCGCGGCGGGGACCTCCCAGGGCGGGAGGCAGTGGCCCCAGGGCCAGGGCTGTTCGGTGACCCGTCCTTTCTCCTTCTGGCCTGCAGCCGCGCTCAGCACCGACCCGAGCGTGTTGGGGAAGTACCGCGCCGGCTTCAGTGAGTGCATGAACGAAGTGACCCGCTTCCTGTCCACGTGTGAGGGCGTTAACACCGAGGTGCGCACTCGGCTGCTGGGCCACCTGGCCAACTGCATGACCCAGATCAACGCCATGACCTACCCCGGGCAGCCGCACCCCGCCTTGCAGGCGCCGCCGCCGCCCCCGTCAGGACCCGGCGGCCCCCAGCACGCGCCGTTCGCGCCGCCGCCGCCGCCGCTTGTGCCCATCCCCGGGGGCGCGGCGCCCCCTCCCGGCAGCGCACCCTGCAAGTTGGGCAGCCAGGCTGGAGAGGCTGCCAAGGTTTTTGGCGGCTTCCAGGTGGTGCCGGCTCCTGACGGCCAATTTGCCTTCCTCATCCCCAACGGGGCCTTCGCCCACAGCGGCCCGGTCATCCCGGTCTACACCAGCAACAGCGGGACCTCGGTCGGTCCTAACGCAGTGTCTCCTTCCAGCGGTTCCTCGCTCACTGCGGACTCCATGTGGAGGCCGTGGCGGAACTGAGGGGCTCAGGCAGTTGCTCCCCCTAAACTCCCTACCCACCTCTCTCTTCCGACGGACACTAAAAACGAACTTGGATATTAGGCGAGAAGACTTTTATAATTTGGTGGCTACTTTGTTGCTTTTTTTAATTTCTAAAAAGTTACTTTTTGTAGAGAGCTGTATTAAGTGACTGACCATGCACTGCATTTGTATATATTTTATATGTTCATATTGGATTGCGCCTTTGTATTATAAACGTTGAGATGACATTTCGTTTTTTACACGAGATTTCTTTTTTATGTGATGCCAAAGATGTTTGAAAATGCTCTTAAAATATCTTCCTTTGGGGAAGTTTATTGGAGAAAGTATAATAAAAGAGTGAAGGCTTTTATGTCTTAGAACTGGTTATTTCAAAAATTGCAAAAGGGCTCCCTAAATTCATATTGCATGTAGTCTGGGAACCCAGAAATAGAATTTTAAATATAATAATAACGTTTTAAACAGAATCCATCAAACCTTTTTCATCAACACTCCATAAACTAAATTTATGAAAATCCATTTGATGGGGCTAAAAGGACTGCAAAAAAAGAAAGAAAAGGAAAGAAAAACCGTTTAAAGGCAAACAGTCCGTATTATGTGCCTTCTAAAAGGTAGTAAGACTTACTCTACTCCTGGGGTAGCCACAAACCTCCCGCGCCACTGCAGCCCTCCTGAGTGTTGGGATCTTCTTCAGTCCATGCGTAGGCGCAGCTACGCATCCCCTATCACCCGCGACACAAAGCTTTAACTGCCTCTCTGCACCCTCTCCAGGCAAGCTGAAAAGGTCAACAGATTCCCTCTGCCATGGGACAGCTAGTTAGACTCCCAAGTGGAGCCCGGGCCAGATGATTAACAGCAGACATGTGTTTCTGATAAGTTTCTGTGCTTGACTTTAATGGGGAAAGCATGTGGGGGCCGCGCTGGCAGGCACACAGGCCGTTTTCCCCTTTTAATACAAACAGCAAGCGACCCCTTCGCTTGGTCATGCCCCATTTCCAGGCAAGATGTGGGCTCCAGATAGAAGCAAAAGGGTTGTCTCGGGTTTCAGCTCACACAACCCTCCTTAACAAGTCCTAACTCAAAGCGGACAGCTTTAAACTGTGCCAGGATCTGCAGGGAATTTCTTCCAAATCCCATCACAAAGGCTTGTCAGATTTTGTCAGATTTGGCCAGGTGTTTGACTGCATCCAGGTGTTGGGGAAATGAAAACCACGAGCCCTGCGAGACCAGACACATCAGCCGCGCTGTGGGTCTGGCCGGCGCGCCCTTCCTCCCCCACCGCCGGCCAGTCCTCCTCCTAGCCCCCGCCCCGCCCGCCTGCCTGCCCGCCCGCCTCCCACCCCCTCCCCCTTTCCCCACAGCGGCTTCTGGGAGAAGGATGAGGCGGGAGAGATCAATCTTTGAAGCTTTCCTAACAAAGATAAAGCCAACGATTTTCTGTCTTGTTTCAAAAGCCTTACCTCTCCCCCGCCTGGCTCCAGCCTTTCCCACAGGCCAGTGTGGAGTGCGGCTCTACCACAGGGGTGATCTGGCAGACTGCAGCCGGTCCCTTCCAATACCTTCAGCCTCGACCCCTGGAGAGAGAGGTTTAAAAGACCGTTTTGAAAACTTGGCTCCTATTTGCCTTATTTTGCGTACAGGAAAGGTATCCAACACATCCTTTACCAAAGAAACACACACACATATCCTTTGTCATATTTTTTCTCGTTTTCTCTTTTGTTTAAACATAAATATAGTTACAATTGTTCCATTAAGACACCCATCCCATACTCAAACACTAAAATCTGGTAAACCCGGTCCTCTGTCCTCCACCAAGAGTTCTTAGCTTCTTTGGCAAAAATAATCCAGACATCAGGATCTCAATTTTATAAAGGCAATTCCTTTACATTGTTCTTTAACAA